TCTATAGCATTAGAAATGCTCGATTTTGGTCTGCTTGAATAGAAAATGCACAAGGGTTCTGCCCTAATTTCCTGTAATCAAATCCAAATCCTGCAAACCAAACACAGGAATGGATTTTAAATCCAATCCAATCCAAATCCCATGGAATCCAAATCCCTTCAGGAATCCAAATCCCTCAAAAACATTCCCGCAAACCAAACGCACCCTAAGAGAAAGAGAGAGAGAGAGAGAGAGAGGTATTTCATATATATATATATATATATATATAGGCAAATGATCGTGTGAGAAGGAACATTAAAGTGAAAAACGTAAGAAAAGATTTAGACCTTGATCACCTTTAATCTCAAACTCACCCATGAATAGCGCTTGATACAAGGATTGTTGTGGTGCATTTCGGTGCATCTTATTCTAATGTGTATCTAATGATGGAGATCCCTTCTTACGCTTCGTATCTTAACTGTCATTCTCATCGGAACCTAGCTCTCTCTATACACACACACACACACACACACACACACATATATATATATATATAGAGAGAGAGAGAGAGAGAGAGAGATGTTGGTTATTATACAACCCTTGTCATTTGTGCAACCAATACAACTCAATCTCAACAGTCCATTTTATTTGATTAATAAGTGATTTTATAGAGGTTTTGATTATTTCCTAATATAAAGTATTAATCATAATTAATAAACCGTATTCATCTTCCATAAATATTTAAATCATAATAAATGAACTCTAATCATTTCCATAAATATTTCAATTTATTGGGTTGCATTGGTTGTACAAATGCAATATGTTGTATTTGAAATAAACCATATATATATATATATATATATATATATATACTAGTTGTGTATCCGCGCAATGCGGCGGGAGCCATGAATATTAACGATTTTGAAGTTCCACTGGTTTTATAAGATAAGATTTAACGATGATATAGGTTACACTTGGTCTTTACATATTAATACAATTTGAATAAATAAAAGTTATGGTTCCAATTACAGACTATCGATGAAAAAAATTGTATGACAGTTTAAAATCCAACATATTTAAACGACTCCACAAATGTGTTCAATTTACACCAAGAGCAAAGAACCAAGAAACTTGAGTTTTAAGATAAACACTCAAAACCAATAAAGAAAACTACAAATTTGACAGATCATAAGCCATGAAAAGACAAAAAAAGATGGGTTTT